GAAATATTTGGGATCATCTCATGTATTACCCTTGAAAGCGTAAATTAACGAAAAATTATTGTTAGATGATTAAGAAAATAACTATCATGTGTTACTAAAAAATTCTCCCATTAGAAAATTTTTAATAGATCATATGTTTGCCAATTTTTGTCCATATTTACTAAACATATATTCACTTATCAAAGCTTTATCTATAATTTTAACAAAGTACGATTGAAATAATATTCATGAAATAAAAAATAAAAAATAAAAAACTAAAAACCCAAAAAACCCGACAAAACTGAACCAATTCAAACCGACAAAACCGATAAAATCAAACCAACCCGATCCATGTACACCCCATGGGTTAGTCTGGGAACTCGATAAGTGTTATCAGTAAAATAAGGATGCAAAATCATAGATAGCGGTTCTAGGGGATTCAATCCATCGATTTAAAGTACGAGGGCTTTGCCGTAAAATGTTATTATTTCTCACTTCTGTTACATTGGGAAAGTAAAGCCCTTTGTCATATGATAACAAATGACAGAAGCTAAAAGTCCAAGGTACGTATCAGTAGCTGACCTTCAACTATTAAATTCTCAAACATAAAATATACTACTAGTTTTTTATGAGAAATACTGATACATATGCAATTGCAACATGCTAAATTTACAATAAAAATTTAACAAAAAAATGAAGAAGGGAATCTTTTAAACCTCGGATCTGCTGCAATATTTCAGAGCCCCATCTCTCGTTAGCCCATTAATTTTTGTAATATGTTACCATACGTTATACCCATTTCGTTTCATGATTTCAGATATGATAAGATAAGAGGTTTCATTAATACTTCAACGAAATAAATTCACGTCTACCATTTTTCTAGCTTCTGTTTGCGGGCGCTCTTTTGTAAATTTTGAAGTTGGAAATTATATGTCATGCATAGAAATCTGGAGCTGTCAGCCTTATAATTGAGACTTCTTTGGCCTTTTCCGAACATGAAGAGCTCATTTTCTAATTTTATAATATAATACACCAAATGATCTTTCTTTCTTGATATTTGTGACAACATATACTATAGTAGTAATAATTTTATAAAAGGATTTAAGTTTTTTCCTTAGAAGTAAGAATTTGAATAATATTAACAGATAGTATAAATAATTTTTGTATTATTATTCAATTAAAGTGACTATTATAGGTTATTAGGAGTACTCAGTGCAAAACTTTTATATACTGATAGTGCATCGAATTAAACTCTTTTTTCTAACAAGAGATTCTCTTTTTCCTTCACTTCATTTAATTTGATGATATTTTTTCTTCTTCTTTTAGTGTGTTTCCAATAACACATCCTACCCATGTTTTCACGTGGACATGGTGCATAAAAACAAAAGCACTACTGTGGGGTAGTACATTGTACGTGGTCTAATATCGAAAAATTATAAAAACTTAAAAGGGGGAGAGTGGGAGTGGGGAGTGGGGAGAAAGAATTAATAAATATATTATTTATTTATAACTACTAAATGAGTAAATAGATGGTATAGGGCATATGTAGATATGAGAGCTAGTGGCAGAAGGCGGTAGTTTTCCGTTAATTTTGCCCACAATAGAAAGCGATAGAAGAATAGAGATTGAGAGAGACACATAAAATGGCCCCATTTTTCCCTTATTGGTTTTGGTGTAAGGTCATGTGTTACTGCAAATAAGGATATATATCTGTGTGTATGCGAGAGAAAAAAAGAGTTTATAGTTTCTTTTCTTTACAAATATATAATATTCGAAATTACTGATCCGACTAATTTAAATTCGTATTATATAGTCTATTAAATAATAAAGAATCTCTTTTAGTTTTTATTTTTATTTTTGTGGCTCAAACTTGAAATATTTAATTAAAGACGAAGGAATTCTAACTACCCGCCACATTCATTAGCGATATGTTTGTGGCTAGGGGCGGAGCTAGAGTATCCCGAGCGGGTTCGGTCGAACTCATTGCTTTGGTTCGAATTATGTCTTTATCTTAAAAAATTCATGAATATATATAAATTATTAATTTAGAACCCAGTAGTTTAAACGACTAGAATTTTGAACCTATAAACTTGAAATCCTGACATCTAATTGTGGCCTTTAGAATAGAAGGGAACGAGTGTGGCCCAGCAGTGGTCATCTGAGGATAATGGTAGTAGCCTTCATCCTCTCTGGACTACAATTAATTCAACCAATATATAGGGGGTACCACCCCATACACACCTTTCTAAATTATTTGCTTTTTTACTATTGTAGATAAGGATCAATACCATTAAATTTTGAGTTTGCAAACTTGGTAATTTATCTTACTAATGTACCTTTGATCCATCCTTCTTAGACAAAATAAGGATGTGCTAAGTGTTAGAAAAAGGACAATCCGGTGCAATAAGTTTCTATTTTGCGCGAGATTCGGGAAGAGTCGGATCACAAGGATCTATTGTACGCAGCTTTACCTTACATTTCTAGAAGAGGTTGTTTCCATAATATTAATTAAGCACTAATACACAAAATCATCAGATGTCATATCTTAACCAATTCCTTATTTTTGAAAGCAAACATACCAGTTGATATACATCCATATAGCGATGTTGTGACACAAACAGATAGAGGTCCTGAGTAGTCTCTTTTGCTGAAATAAACGCATTGCTAGCTAATATGATTTTGAAGGCATCACAACTTGCAGTCATAGTTGACCCTAACTGTTTGTTAATAATATCCGGTAAACATTATTAGAAAATGTTAATTAAGTAAAAGCATGAAAAAATTACTTAAAAAACAAGATACAGTTAGTTATGAAAGCAAATTAGGATAATCAAGCAACATTAACTACGAAAAGGGAAAGAGTCAGTGGTCACAAAAATTCATTAGAAAGCTGAATGAAAATGAAATCAAATCTTTCCTCGATTATCTTGTCCGTTGATAGTGATAGCATGCATAGAAAATCAGCCCAGGACCCCCACCCCCCACCCCAAAAAAAACCCCAACCCGACCCCCCTTTTTCTCCCTGTGGTCCTCCATTTCACTATCCAAATAAATACTTATATTATGTTATCTATTAATAAGTCATTTTGCTACCTTTTTGGAAAACTTTTATGTTTGATTATTGACCTACTAACTACTCAATTATTATATATAATGATTCACCCATGACTTTATAAACATCCCTTATTCTATTCCTACCAGTCAAATCGGAGTACCTAATTGGGTTATTAACATAAACTTTGGTAGTTACCCATATCTCCAAATTTTGTGCATTAATTTAAACTCTCACCCGTAACTTTATAAACATCCATTAATAGTTACAACTTACACATATCTGCAAATTTTCTGTTCAAATCTTTTTGTAATACATTAGAGAATTAAGGAGGGATATTGAAGGGGAAAATGGAACACTGAGAATAGAACTCACAAGCAATCTTAGGAGATTTTGTATAATAACAATAGATTGCACATATTGGTTTTACTGCAAGAATATCATTGATAAAACTAGAGATAAACTTAAGGTTTTCTTTTTCTTATTGAGCTCCCTACCTTCCTGATGGTTCATCCTTAACCACAAGTCTCAGTTTGAGTCCTGGGTATAAAGTCGCCTTTGTTATGAAGCGTTTTATCCCCAATGTGAGATTTTTCGGCGTGAATCCAAATTTAATCAGGTCCCAATATTGGTACCGGACATCGGAGAAAAAGGTGGAAAGTTCAAACCTATCAATAGTGTAACATCTTCTCCCTCTTTTTCCTTCTTCTAATGTTATGGAAAAAACCTTTTAGGGTGCAATTCAAATTATAATACCAAGATTCTCGGTTTACTTCTTGTACTGCGTACTTCTGTCTTCTGTTCTAGAAATTTCTTTTTTTTTTTGGCAACAAATAATTAAATATGGAAATAAGTTGAAGCGAAAGGAATGCTATTTTTAGCAACTGACAACCCCGTAATATCTGAGATTCTGGTGTTACGGAATTTATTCCAGTACATCATATGCTCACTGCTTTTATAGGTGCGTCATCCACATGCTCCAATATCAAGCAGTCGTTTGATACACGATCATCATACGCGCGTCAGAGGGATCCTTTCTCTAACTTTCAGGTACCAAACACCAATCGCACGGAATTCTGAAACCCCGTTTTCCGCCTTTTTGGGCTGGTGTCCACGTCATCCCTCTGACATGTCACCTTTGACGGGTCCATTGATTGACACGTATCAGTGGAAGACCAATTGTATCACACTGTTCTCACACTTTGCGTTCTTGCGGGACAGTCTCACGTGGTTGGTCATATCTCCCTGGGCCCACCAGCCATGGTCCATTTTGGTATGGTTACGTTCCATAGCCCTAGCACCTAGTAAAAAGTCGAGCTGAATTAAAATTATTTTCCTCGACTATATGAGTGGTGAATACATTTATTTATTTATTAATATATATTAATAAGCAATCTGGTTTCTCCTATGTAGATTGTATTATTTCTTGTATGCAATATATTGAAATATATTTGTCATATAACTGGTATCAGGACTCAAATCTAACATCATGTCTCCACTAATATCTTGTTGAGCCATGCAAGAATAATGGCACTGTCTTTGTTACTTTTTATTTGACACGCTTTTCTTTTTATTTGTTCTAAAATAATTATACTTTTATATTTGGAAGCCTTTACAACTTTAAAAATTTTATTTATATGTAATGACATATTCTTATAACTACAACATATTTTCGCTGAGCTGTTTGGGTGAGTGATTTCCCACATGGAAACCTGTGATCGATTTCCCTCACCAGCAGCCTCCTCAGTTAGAGCTCGTTGCACTGGGTGTGCCTAGTGCGGTTTATATAAAGGATAGCAGTTGCGGATTTTCCTGAAATTTTTCACACATAAAAAAAAATGTTTAAGAATACAAGTTTTAAGAGTAATTTTTAAATGTCTCGGAAAAGTAAATACTCTCCCCCTCTCATAGGCTCACCTCTCCTATTCGGCTAACCTTTTCTCAAATTTATATATACCCCACTTTCCTTAAACCTTTAACCTTCACGCATTCTTCCCCATTCTCTCTCTCGCCATACAAGAGAAGGAAAAAAGAAGAAAAAAGAAAATAAAAGAAGGAATCCCATTTCTTCTATTCTAAAAGCTGTGTATTCATAGTACTTGAGGAGAAAGAAAGAGGGAGTTGGTTCAAGAGGACGTAACAAGGAAGGAACGAGTTAGGAAGCTACCTAATATTTTTCTAGTACAATTTTGAACAGCCTTTTGTTACTTTCCGCAAAGCAAAACAAAGGACAGTAGCATTTTAGCAGCTTTTGGAAGTCCCTTTTTTCTTACTTTTTTGGAAAAAAAGGATCTCTGTTATTAATGAATATTGCATTACCAGAAATGTTACACAGTATCACAGGAAATGGAAGCTCAGAAATGAGCGTGCTTGAACGACAACGAGCGAGAATGAAATGGCAGCAAGAACAGCTGCAGCAACCAGAAATGATGAGTTATTTTGATGGACAAAATGATCATCAACTGATGCATTCTTATTCTCAAACAGCTGGAGCTCAACAGTTTCATGGTCTAATCAACAATGTAAATGATCAGAGTCTTAATGAGCTTGTGACTCGGGCAATTAAGCCGGACCCCTGTTTAGAGAACAATAGGGGTGATTTTGGGACCATTGGTACTGATGGTTTAGGCTATGTTCCAATTGGGGTTGGAAATGGAGGAACTACGCCACAATTGGGATTGGATTATGCCATTTCCAGAACCACAAGTTGCCCGCCTAACATGGCGGACAACTCTGTGTCTGCTGGTAAAGCCAAAGAGAGTATGCTGAGCTCTAATAGAGGAAGAGAGAGTTTCAAGAAGAGAAAAGCAGACAAGAATCAACATCTCAAGGTATGTTCAACTCCAACTGAAACTGTTCCTCTGCCCTGTCTATGTTTAGTCCCTACATTTTAATGCCGTTGAGACATAATATAATTAAGTAATTTAAAGCGTATTCTCTCTAAGAATTTAAATCTTTAGATGAGCTGGTCACCCAAATAAACATGGTTGCACAACACTCTCACTGCCATCCAAAAAGCAAAAGATATTACTACATGTTCTGATCCACACGAGAGAGAGCATGTTGATATATAATATAATTAAGTAATTAAAAGTGTGCTCTTTTCAAGAGTTTAAACTTCTGTACGAGATTTTTACACCATTCAATAGTTGCAACTGTCCTGTAATCTAACAATTGGTGGACATTTTTAAGGAGGTTGCAGAAGAAGAAATCAAAGGCAAGAAACTGAAAGAATGCGTAGCTGAGGGAGATTCCAAGGTAACAACAGAGAAATACAACAAAAGGAGCTCCAATAACAGTAACAACAGTAAGGAATCCTATGAATCTTCAAAGGAGAAGTCCAAAATTACTGAAGATAAAAAGCCTGATTATATTCATGTCCGAGCACGTCGTGGTCAAGCCACTGATAGCCACAGCTTAGCTGAACGAGTGAGTTATAGATTTGGTCCAAATGTTTTTTTACTACGTATTAATATTTAACTCCAGTGAACAAATTAACCAGCAACTTAATTCATATTTTTGGCAGGTAAGAAGGGAAAAGATTAGTGAGAGAATGAGATTTCTGCAAGATTTAGTACCAGGATGTAACAAGATCACAGGGAAAGCAGGAATGCTAGATGAAATAATCAACTATGTCCAGTCTCTCCAAAGACAAGTAGAGGTAAAAAGAAAAAAATCAAGAAACAATAGTCCCTTCTGTATTTGATATTGTTGCTAGAAATACTATGATTTGAGATTCTATATTTGACAATTCAATATCATGACAGTTCCTATCCATGAAACTGGCTGCTGTTAATCCAAGGCTTGATATCGACGTAGACAATTTCTTAAACAAAGATGTAAGGGAATATCATACCAAGAAATTATTTCGTTCTTCAGTGTAAAAACATGTTCTTATTTCACATTTTATTTCTCCAGATATTTGCAACTAGCACGTCTAATTTTCCTACAGTGGGAGCTGGAACATCATCTGAAATGCTTAGTATGGCCCAACGCCAGTTCAATTCATTGCAGCAAATAGTGTCAAGTTCTGGATTCGAAATGGGTATTCTAAATCTTAGTGAAATGGCTCTACGTAGAACCACTAGCGCTCCTGTATCAATCCCTGAAATATTTCTCGACTCATCCAATATCAATGTAATTATTCGAACCCATCTTAGTCAATAAACTGTTATTTCCCTTTTTCTTTCAATTTGTTTAACGAAAGTTTCATTCAAAATACAGCAAGTTCAGAGCTTTCCAACTTGGGACAATGACTTAGATAACATGTACGCAATGGAACTTCAACAAGGAAGATCAGCACAGTTTCTTCCCCATCCGTGTACAGGTATGCACAAGTGACATGTCTAGTCGATATTTCTTTCATGTCTATGATAATCAACAAAAAGAGATTAAAAATCATTTAAGGTGGGTGATACTTTCCATGTTAGAGACTCAGAACCTATCATATTGCTTTTGAGAATAGTTGGGTTCTCTTTGATTTATACTCCTGTTGAAAAAGGCTGCTGATTAGGTATCTTCCCTTTTTTTTCTGTCTTCCACCTTAAATGATCAAAACTATGTTACTTTTGCACGGCAAAAAATTCCCAAAGTAGTTGTTGATAGGCAAGATGTAACCATCCAACACAAATGAACAGTTATTATTCAACTACATTATTAAGACTTACGAGTTCTGGGAGGGCCATGTCTTTCCTTTTTTCTTTTTTTGACAATAGTAGTCTCTTGACCACGTAGCGTCACCTCAACTATTCCACCGAGTATTGCCTACCCCAAACTTAGTGTTCTTTCTACCTCCACTGAAATTTGAACCCTGGTCTCTCACAGGAGGGCCTATGACCCCTATCTATCTCAACTACAATACTTATCTGAAAAGGGAGCACTTACCGCGGCACTAATCTTTAGTTTAACACCAGAATAATAGAAATTAGGCTTCTGTGCAAGTGTTGAAGCTAAAAACTATTGATTGTTGTGCAGGTTTTGTTGAAGCTGGAAATGACCTGAAGATGGAAATGTGATCTTACAGTTTTAAACATTCAAGATCATTGAATGACTTCACCTCAGATGTCATGGATCCTGATTCTTTTTTCCAAGTACATAACATAGTATATTATGTATGTAAATGTTGCAGTTCAAGAGTATCAAGCAATACTATGACAGTGTTCATTGGAAATCTTGTCTTCTCTAAAACAATTAATCAAATTGCAACTGGAGCCAACCATGCCCAAAATATCCAGTATAAAATAGCTAGAAACGAAGTAGAAATCCAGCTTTTTCTATATACATAAATCTAATTTTCATCTATATATAAAGGTAAAAGTAAGCAACTACTGAAGGGGAAAAATGAAAGAAAAGAAATCTCAACAGAAGAACAAAATTCGTTCTTCTTTTTTTTTTTAAATTTGATAACCGAGAAATCTCCGAGGGCTAGTGGCGAGCGCAAAATTCAGTCCTTTAGAAATAATTTGTTTGGCCATGAAGTTATCACTAGATTGAAATCAAAATCAGCTGAAACCTCTCAATCTGGCCATAAGCTTTAGAGAATTTGGTACCAATTTGAGTTATTTAGCCGACCCCAGCTCATGTTGTTCTTACGTATGGTAACTTATGGTTGTAATCAATCAAGATATCATTTTAATTTTACATTTTACTGTCAGTTGTATAGTACAAATTAAACTCCATAAAATTTAATGGAAATCCATCATAATAGAGTTGCCAGTAAATATGCTTAAAAGCTGGTTGATTCTAATATATTAGGAAACACAATATTTTGTGGTCAAGAGTAGTAGAGAAAGTTCTATTCTAAAGATTGATTATTAAGGGTCATACTCATCAAGTGGCACAAACTGGTACTCTGTTGACTAGAACCTGAATGGCAATATTGAGCAGCCCATGAGAATACTGAAAGGGAGCCAACCAGTAAACCATAGTGGCTAGCCTAGTTGCCTTTTGGACAGAATAAGACATTTTGATTAAGACCTGGAAAATTAATAAAGGGAGAAGCCTTCTTCTTTTTCAAAAAAATTGGTGATGTTGAGACATCTGAATTAGATATTAGGATTCATGCTTTCTCTATTTGAAAGAAAGAAAAAAAAATTAGTGCCTAATCATATGGCAGCTCATGTTTTTGTCACACAATTAGAATAAACTTTGCAGATAGAACAACATTACATTTCACATCAGTCTTTAAATATTGTTTTGATCATTTGAACAAAGAAAGGTAAAAAAAAAAAAGGGATAAGTAGCTTACGTAGTTTATAAGGGACTAAAAATTTGTTATAATCATAGCCAAATTCCACTGAGGGCAACATGGAGTAAATAACATACTGGTGGCTTTGAATTGGAAAAGAATGGATTTTTGTGGATTATCATTAAGACATTAACCAAACTCATATTAGTTACTACTTGTCTTGTAATCTAACTCATTACTCCTTCCCTTCAGTGAGGGAGTTTCTTTTTCCTTGCATTATTTCTTCTTCTTTTTTCATGCTTTCATTTCATTTATCCTTTTTTTAGTTTTTCCCC